TGCATCATCGTGAGCGATAGCGAAGGCCCTCGTTGCCTCAGGTGGGAGTGACCTTACTGACCTTAGCGCATACTGCGCCCGGAAAGCTGCGCAGCACAAAAGAAGCAATCATTCTCGCAGGGCGACAGACTCAGACGGCGCAACAGAGGCAGGGACATCACGAAAGTGACAGCGCCAAGCATCCAGCCATGCGTTCCCTTCCAAACAGCATCCTTCGGGCGACGCACTAGCATGCAATGCAGGAGGGAATGCCCAGCTGCCTTGCGGCAACGGCAGGGTGCGACATAGTCATGCGCTCCTGGGTGCGCAACAGTGCGCAACCAGTGCGCAACCATGAATGCCAGAAGCCTGTTCTTCTCTTGGGGCCTCATGGAGGTGGAGGAGATGCTAGTAAGCACCGGGCAACAACTGCCTTCGTCGCAAGCGCACGAGCTCCCATCATGCACCGCAACAGTGCGAATGGCAAGTCCACGCGAGACCAACACCAGGTCAATGCTAGAGCCGGAACGATGCGTTGTTGGAACACCAACGGGATTTGTTCTTCCAAGCTGAAATTCAGCGCGCATGCCACGAAATGCCACGAATGAGTTCACGAAGCCGGGGTTCTCCAAATGTTTCGCGTTCAGACCCCATAATTTCGCCCAAATAGACGTTGCAATCCCCAGCTAGGTTCGATCCCAAAATGCCACACTACATGCGGGGCATGATCGCTACAAACCAAAACAGGGGAGCTGCGGTCAAGGGGGGTGCCTCACTACGGATCCAAAGCGGCCACGAGGGGGAGGTGCTCCTAACAAGGAGACCAGCTTCACAGCCATCTATGCCCTGCGGCCCGTCATGGACATGGGGCTAGTCAATCGGTAAGGCGGCAACAAGTGGAGCACGTGTTTCCTGGACGCATGTGGCATCGACTTAAGGTGTTCGGCAACCACAATCGATTGCAGTTCGTCAGCGCCAACCTGACGCAGCTCGGCTTCGCACTTTTTGCACCTGCCAAAATGTGTCCGCGTCTCCCGACGCTACCTACCGTGTCCTACTACGGAAGCGCCCGCGCCAAGGCCTCATCGAAGTCCCTAGCGGCTGCCAGACACAACCGCCATCGCACATCGGCTAGCACGCAATCAGCCCAAGTCAGGAGACATCGGACCTAGCCTAATGCTGCCAGATTCAACAGGCATCAAAACTGGAAGAAGAAGTCAAAGTATCTTGAGCAAGCAGTGCAAAAGCAATGAAAGAGATTCACTGCACACTGCCTTGTGTGGCCCATTGGCAGTCTCAAAGCCCTCTACATTACAAGCCTACAACCTGCAGAGGCGGTGGCATCCGGGACGCAGTACTCCGACAGCCACTGCGACAATGCTGCTCCGGCGACACACGCGGGTCCAATGCAGCTGTGGGGTGGCACGAGACTCTTCTGCAACGGGCCTGGTACAGCAGCATCGGCGACTGAAAGAACGTGCCGGTTCTCTCGTTACAGCGCAAAGCAGTCGAGAGAGAGAGAGAAGGGAGAGAGAGAAGGCAAACTCACCCTTCCTTTTTTCCGCAGAGGATGCTGAACGTACTGCTGTGCGAGTCAGAGCGAAAGAAGAGCTATGCGAAGCAGCTTCCCCCACTTAAGGTACGTCCAGGATCCTCTGCAGAAAGAAGCCCTCACCGCGCGAGGAGCCGTAGAAGTACCTGGCAGGGCGGCAGCAGGTGCAAGAAGACAGACCGCAGGTCAACCCAGGCAGTGCAGCCAGCGCCTAGCGAGGCTATCCACTGTGGTCCTTTTTCTATCGTAGCATGGCTTTAGTGGCGTCTTGCAACAAACGGGGCCAAGCGGTAGAGGCACCGTGCAGGGAGACGCTGTGCGAAGCGGAAGCAAGTTGAGTCAGCGAGACCCGGGTGCGTTCGGCACTGCGATGCTTATTAATGAATGCGATGCGACCTCTGCTGAGGGCATCGGCCCAAGTATTCTTTTCGCCTGCGAGGTGCTCAACTTCAAACTGCACGCGGTGCAGGTGGGCCCACGTAGCGGCTAAGCGCAGGAAGGTGCCCAGCGGTTCTGCGGTGCTGAAGAGCTTATTCAAACCGGACTCAGCGCTGGTATTGTCGCTGGCACTAGGCAGGACAAAGCGCACATGCCGAGCGCGCAGCAGTTGCCAGGAACACTGTGCCAGGGCTAGCTGCGCTAGGGTTTCAAAGCAGCCTATGTAAGGTTGTAAACTGCCCGTGAGCTGGGGCCACTCGGCGCGGACTTGCTCCGCGGTGAAAATTTCACTGTACCAGATGAAATGCTGTGCAGTGCTGAGCCAGCCACCTATGCCCATGCGGCCCTTGTCCGCGAAGGCGTCGGCAGCACTGAGGCAGTGCATACGCGGGGCCGACCTGAGAGAGCGAGGCTGTTCGTGAGCGAAGCACAGGCTTAACCATTGCAGGACGAATTTGCTTTCGGAGCGGAGGTGGATCTCTTGGCGAGTGGGGTCGGCCAGTCTGACCCACTGGTGCTTATGCGAGGGCGGCACGCGAGGCACGTCTTGCTTAGAGCTTATTTTAAGAGAGCCTATTTCCAGTAGCTGTGCATTACGGGGCAACCAAGAACCGGCAGGCGTCCGAGCTAGCCTGGCTGAGCTGTCGAGGGCGTCGTAGAACTGCTGCCAGACCGCCGGGGCGATGCTGTGCAGAGTACCTTTGGCGCTGTGCAGGTCCTTGTAAAGCGGCGCCATGAAAGGGCGAAGGTGCTTGCTCATGGTGGTGGCCCAATTTTGAGAAGGCCAAGGACGGCTTCTAAAGACTTGCGGGGGATTTTGCTGAGCCGGTGCAGGTTGCTGAGCTGCTCCCGAAGCTTGGCGAGCTTGTGCGGCATGAGTTCGACCGTCTCCGTCGCAGTGCAAAACTTCCAGCCGCACCACGTGGCCTGAGCGGAAAACTGTGCCTTCTTCCAGCTGATAGGCGCCTTGATTGCCGCGAGCAGGGCGACGATGAGGGCAGCGCCCGAGTGCGAGTGGGAAGTGCGAAGCAGGACGAGCAAATCATCCACGTAAAGCCAGGCCTTGTGCGGGTGCCGGTCAAGAAGGGCATGCACGCATCGCAGTATGAGGCTTCCTGTGCGTTGCCACCAGTAGGCGCTAAAGCGTGCACCGAAGTGGCAAACTGTGTAGTAGTAAAGGCGTCCGCGGTGCCTGAAGAGCAGGGTCCCTTGGTCGCTTTGCCGAACCTTGACGCATTTATGCGCAGCCTTAAAGTCGAGCGACAGTGCGATCCACTGTGCGAAGGCATCTTCAGCAAGGAAGGTGCGTTGCACATCCGAAGCTGAGGGCATAGCGACCCGCTCGGGGAGATGCACCGCTGGGTTGAGACCGCACACGGTGCTGTCGAGGACTAGGCGGGGGTCTTTGCCTTCAGCGGTGACCACGTTGAGCTTACCTATTGCAGTGCCCAAGTGCCAGTGCTTGGCCGCCTCCTCTGCAGAGCCGACGAACTCCTTGACCCAACCATTGTCTATTTCCTTCTGTATGAGCTCGTCCAGCAGTGCCGGCTCTTGCTCTGCGGCCAGCCAGTTTCCCCTGCAGTGCTCCAGGGCGGGACCAGAGAAGTCCGCATCGGAGTCGAAAGAGTGCTGGACTTGAACCCATTGGTGGCTGCTGGGCAGCGGCTCGAAAGCCCCAGTGGGGACACCTTCCGCGAGGAGGTCGGGCAGGTCCCTGTCCCTGTCCTGCAGGGCCACTGCTATGCTCTTCAGGACTTGCAGGCGGAAAGGCTGGCCCGGTGCCACAGAAAAGAAGGATTGGCAGGTCGTTTTCGTTTCAACGTGCAGGCGGACCAGCTCGGCTAGCACGGTGCCGTGGTAGTCGGAAAGGGGTGCTCCTTCCTTTGCCTCGGCGAGGTGCTGGGCAATGACGGATTCCAGACCTTGTGTTTTGAGGTATTTGCTCATATCCTGCGCAAGCTTGGCTAAGGGCTGGGCTTTGGTGGAAACATTGTTTGCAGCGTGGTCTGCGGAGCTGAAGAGGCCGGCGACGTCGCAAGTGGGCACGCGCACCGGATGGAAAGTGCTTGGCAAGAATTGCTGGAAGCTGTGCAGCGCGACATCGGCATGGCCCAAGGCTGAGCAGTTGGCTTTGTAGTGGCGAGGCAAGAAACGCGGAACTTCGAAGTGCTCCAGTGAGCAGTCAGAAGAGCAGAAGACAGTGCTGGGCCCGAAGGCGGCACATTCGCGGCAGTGCGAGGCTATCTCCTGGCAGAGGTGCGTGTACGCGCTCTGCAGGGGCTGTTCGGCCTGGCATGGGAAGAGAAAGTTAACGTGTGCTCCTTGCAGGTGCGCGGCCCGAAGCAGGGCGCGGGCTTGGCTGTGCTCGGCGTCCGAGAGGGCGCAGGCCGTGGATATCACAAAAATGGACCCCAGGATGCCTGACCACACGATCTGGAAAAGGCGTGCCAGGGAGTCCGGCTGCGACAGGGCACCTTGGTCGGTGCTTTGCACTGCGAAGTGGTCCCTATCCTTAAACCCAGGGGGGAGAACCGAGGCAGGGCCTAGTATACAGAGGCCTAGGCGGGGCGGGGTTTTAGCCAGGTCGGAGGCTTGGTCTCCCTCTGCGGAGGAGGACTCTTCAGAGTCAGTGCTTGCTTGCAGTGCGGCAGGCGGAGCAACGCCGGTCATTTGGCTGTCCTGCGGCGCAGCAGGCCGAGCGGCGCTCGACGCGGGCACATGAGGAGAGAGCGCGTTTGCAGGCAGGTTTTGCGGGGTCGGGGTCACATGCGGCTTAGGTTTGGGGTTTGCAGGTGCAAGGGCAGGCGAGGCCTTAGGGTCTCTAGGGGAGCAAGGGCTAGGCTGAGCAAGGGGCTTGCTGACTGTCGCTGCCAGCGCGGCAGAGGCAGACGAGGTAGAGGCAGAACCTAGTCACGAGGAGCTGGGCTCTTGTGGGTTCTTGTGTCTGCAGGCAGGGTGATTCCTGCCACAGGGCTCGCCGGACGGGAGCTTGAAGGCGCATGCGTGCAGATATTTGCACTGTGCATTGCGGCAATTGCCTTTGTTGTAGCGGATGCAAAAGATGCGCCCGTTGTGCGACGGGACCAGAGCGGCATCCTTGATTTCTGTGCTGGTGCCCGAGCCCGGGCTGCTGCGTTTGCCGGGCTGGGTGCCGGTATTCCGGTTCGTCTTGTCTTTACCCTTGCCTTTGCCTTTGTTGACCTCAGCGCGGGGCGGGGGCTTTTGAGGCGGTGGCGGAGGCTTTGCTCGGAGCTGCAGGAGGTTGCCAATGTCGGAGCGCACCGTGGTAATTTCATGAAGCGCATCATCCAGCGTCCAGCCCGAGCTGTGCATGGTGCTGAGCTCTTGCCAAAGTTTCCTATCTGCAGCGACCAGCTCAGTGGTGGTAACGGTGCGGAGCGAGTGGTCGGCTGGTGACTGCGTTGCCCAGTCTAGAACCTTCTTGTCGAAAGCCTTGATGCGGGCCAAGTGCGCCCCTTTGCATAGTGCAATTGCATTGCGGAAGACGGCCTGGATGCGGCTGAGCCAGGCAGGGCTCAAGCGCAAGTGGTCGACGGGCAGCTCCGGCGTCTCGTCGAACAAGGCGGTGCTCAAAAACTGGGCTTCCGTGCGAAGCATCTTGCTGGACTTCGATTCCATGATCTCTTGGTATTGCTTCTGCGAGAGGCGCAGTTGCCAGGGGATCCAGGCTACTTGTGCACAAGACTTAGCAGACGCACGCTGGGCATTGCGTCGCTATCGAGGTATTCCCCGGGATAATTGGTGTCGAAATCTGTGACGAGCTTGGCAATGACGGCACTATCCAGGCGGGGCGGTGCGTGTTCCGCCCATGAATTGATGGACTGGGCTTGCTGTGACTGTGCGGGGGCCGACGGTTCGACCGCGTCGGAGGCCTGCGTCAGGGCTTTGGCTCTTAGCAGTGCGCGCCGCAGGCGAGCCATAGCCGGGCTGTGCTCTGCGTCCGAGATCTCCAGGTCTTGCCAGAGCTGCGCGAAGTCTGGACCACAAAACCGATCCAGACTTTCGACGCCGTGGTAGGCAAACGCAAAATCCGGGATGGTGCGAATGCCCGAATCTTGCAGTGCAGTGCTAAGCTGGTCCGGAACTTGAAGGCTGCGCAGGAGGTCTGCGAAAGCTTCAGCGCTGTCCCAGGCGTGAGACATGCCGTGCAATGCGAGCAGGCAGAGGGGCCCGATGGCAAGGTCACTCAAGAGTGGAGAAAAAACGGCTGCGGCAAAACACGAGCTGGTCAGTGCAGGGCAGCGGCACACAGCGGCAATGCGAACAAACCCAAAGAGACCGAGAGCACTGTGCGAGGACGAGCGGCAGCATGACCTGAGCGGCAGGGAGGATCTTGGCTGGGTCCTAGGGTACGGGCAGTGGGGTGTTTTATACCTTTGCTAAGCTGGCTGAGCGAGGCTGTCTGGAACCCGATCTATGCACACGCTTTGCGTCTGCATGTGACACCGTGAGGCTGATCCGAGAACTGAGCCGCGACACCGAGGCGTATGCCGCACGCGGTGCGTAAAGGAACTCCTTCCTGGGGCATTGCCACGCGGTGCCACTTGCCCCAGGGGCCTGTGCAGGCGAAACGCTGATCGCCGTCTATGATGAGGGGCACGCGGTGCTCAGGCTCATGGTCTGAGGACACGGATGACTCAGCTGAGCTTGTGTCGTCTGTGTGCAGCGCGGCGGCGCGTGCAACCATTGCTGCTTCTTCATCCGTGAAGTCTTCGATTGGATCCCCGTCGTCGCAGTGCGTGGCTGAAGCTTGATGTCCCGAGGCGTCCTTGATTTGAGTGCAGTCCTCGATGTCATCCGGGCTGGGCGGCTGAGGCTCGGCGGGTGCTCCGACCGTGGCAGCTGCCGCGGCATGCAGGTGTTCGTGCCTCGTAACGAAGAAGACCCAGCGCGGGTCCAGGAGATCCTGGGCGGGGAGCTCTTCAAGGACAGGGCCGGGCGGCAGTGCAAACGGGGGCTCCGGGATAGGTGCCTGGCCTCCGCGGGCGATGCTACGCTCGGCCCGCCACCCGGCGCACATAGAGTCGCTGAGACTGTGCTGGACATCGAGACTCGCGAATACATCGTTGCGGGAGTACAGGGCGGCAGAGTCCCGGTGATGCCCGTGCGTCAAGCGGTGCTCTTTCCAGAGTCTTAGCTGGGCAGCCGAAGCGAGCCCGGTGGGCTTCATGCTGTGCAAAGTGAGCTGTGCTGCCTCATGAGCAGTAAGCCCCTGGCCGGGCGGCAGCCAGGGCAAGGTCGCCGCCCAACGCAGGGCAAGCATGGCGGTGCAATAGGAGGCTGGGCTAAGTTCAAGAATTGAATTCAGTTCCGGGGCAGTGCTGAGCCAAACGAAATCAACAACGTCGCCAGGGCTCCACATGGAGTCAATGGCGGTGCGCATGGCATGCAGCCAGTGCAGGACCCAGCAAGATGCTGTGGTGCTACGGCCGGTGAGGCCAGCCAATGTCACCGCAAAGGGTTGTCCCTTGTCCGTTGTCTTCGTTGCGTAACAAATTCCGTGCAAGGCTGTGCGGCTCAAGGAAAGAGACTCGAAGTCAATGCGTTGCAGGTCCCCAAAGCGGAGACATCCGTGCACGGCTAAAAGAATAGCTCCCAAGATAAGCTTGGTAGTGAGCGGGGCCCCCGAGGTGCAAACGTGAAATTCCCAAGCCGAGATGAGGGCCCAGGGAATGGGCAGGGCTTCGCGGCGGTCCTTGGCGGTGCCTCGCAAGGAGTATGCTCGGATAACAGGGCTATCCATCGCCACGGCTAGGCTATGCCACTGGGCGCACTTGACAACCCAGCGAAGGGCTTTCACAGAAGATGCGGCAGATGTTTGGTGCACCTCACGGTCTTGGCTGTGCGAGGCTCGTGCTGCTGCGAGAAAGTCCAAAAGCGAGGGCAAAGTGATCGCCGCGAGCGCTATGCCAGAGCATTCGAGAAACAGAACCCAAGCAGCAGCAACACGAAGGTATCTTTCAAGGGTGCTGGGCCGGAAAGTGGCGACAACTGCGAGGCAATGCTGAGTCGGGTCTTTGCAGGGCTGCAGGGAAAGCCAAAGTAGCGAGGCCGCACCTAGCTTGAGTAACAATTGGCACCAGGCGGTGCCGCATGCTTGCATTCTGGCCTCAGAGCGAGCGCGAGTCGAGGAGTTGCATACCCGCTGGGGCTTGGTTGGGAGGCTTGAGGCTAGGCTGTGGCTGGGCGACTGTAGCTGAAGCTGCCGCCGGAGGCGGTTCCTGTCGTCCTGCGGCTTTGGGGGGCGGGGCGGTGACATGCAGGCTGCGCGGCGGTGGCGGGGGAGGGGGTAGTGGCAAACCGGGGCCCAACGGGGGGCTAGGAGCCCTGCGGGACCGTTTATTGGGGGGCGGTGCCAGGCGGCCGCGCCCCTCGAGAACGCGAGGAAAGAAAGCTCCGGAGCAGGGAGTCGGGGCAAGCTGAGCAGGCGGCTTGGCTAGGTCAGACACACGCGGTAGGTTCCCATGCTTGCGCGGAATGAAAGCGAATCCGACGGGCTTGTGTGCAGTGCGGGGCCGAGGTGCGGGCGACGGCAAGGACCAACTCGAAGCCGAGCTGGCGCAATCATCTGTGGTGCAGGGCCTGGCCAAAGACCTGCCGGAACCTGTGCTCGGCCCAGGCTCGCCTGCTGCGTTGCGTTCTGGTGCTGTGCGGGGTTTAGGCGTCTCGGGGTCGGTGTGCGACGCTCGGTCGGCCGACTGAGATGCCCAGCGACGGCGCATTGCACGCTAGAGTAGGGCGGGAGGTCGGGGCGCAGAGAGGCTTGCAGCAAGAAAAGGCTAGCCCGAAAACGAACAAGCAGCTTGAATAAAAATCCAAAAGCGCCTGCAAGACCGAAACAACAGAGCGTGTTGTGCGAGAGCCGGGCCGAAGAAGATCACGACGACGAGGGTACCTGGCGGCAAGGCAGGGCAGACACAGAAACATGAGACCACAAAGGCTGCGACCAAGCACCTGCTGGGCCGAGCTCGCGGAGCAAGGCTGGCCGAGCGGGGCCGGTGCAGGTCCTGCAGGGCAAGGCACGTGAAGGAGAAGCAACTAAGCTTAAAGCCGAGGGCGCTCAGAACAAGAAGGCGCAGGCTTTTGCGAAGCGTGCGGTGCAGTGCTCTCTAAGGCAGGGCTGTGCAGGCAAAGCGGTGCTGTGCAGGGGCGGCAGTGCTTGGCTACTTGCCGGCCTGTTTGCACTTGGAGCAGCGGTGCACCTCGTGGATGTCCTTGTCCCAGGGCTCATGGATTTGCTTTGCGCAGGGCGGTCTGCCATAGTCGCAGCTCGAGATCTGGCATGCGATGGCGCAACACACGGAGCCGCTGCTGTGCTTGAAGACGGGGCGGAGCTCGCCGTTCTTGCAGCGCACGTACCGTATCTCCGTAATAACCCGCTCGCTGGGCGTCAGTTTTACCGTGCGGTTGGTCAGGGCGAGGGCGGGGCAGAGGCCAAAACGCTGCAGGAATCGGTGCCTGTGCCGGTGCTGGGGCAGGCTCCGATGGCGGCGCAGGCGGTGGGTTTCCATACCCCGCGGGCTGTGCGTAGCTCCAGTCTCCACCTGACTGTCCCCACGAGGCTTGGCCGTGGCTGGGCTGTGCGGTGCCGTGCCACTGGCCCCAATCATCGTTGCCATCGTCGTGGCTGTCCGCCCAGCGCGGGGCCGGCGCGGGGCCGCGCATAGCATCATAGTCTTCGTAGCGGCGCCGGCCTTTTCCCTGGCCGCGGTGCTGTGGCTGGGCCGGGGCAGTGCCGGGCAACTGGTCCCAGGGGTCGCGTTGCTGAGGCCTAGGCAAGCCAATGCGTCAAGCGAGACGGCAAGTCAGAGAGCTGAGTTACGGTCAGGGCGAAAAGGAAAGTCCGCAGTGCGATGCGACCTGAGTAAAAAAGGTGCTCAAAACACCTGAAAAGCTGCCAGTCGCGAGGCCGAGGCGGCCACGGCCCAGCGAATCGGGCCACGCGGGGCAACCGACCTGAGCACGCGGTGCTTCCGTACAAACCAATCCCAGTGCTGCGCACAGAGAATCTGAGGGCGGCGCGGCCACCAGGCAGTGACAACGCAACCACGCGGGGCAAGTCACCTGAGCACGCGGTGCGAAAAAACCAGCAAGCTGCAAGCGAAGAGCACAAACAAACATGCGATGTTCAGCGCGGGGCGGCTCGATGCGGAGCGGCCATTGGTCACTAGTCTAGGAAGTCGAGCAGTGCACGAGGGTGATCTTCATCCCCCGGCGCCGGCTGAGCAATGCAAATCAAAGTGGGAAGCACGCATCCGCGCAGCCAGAGCAAGGCAGGGCGGCCAGCCACTGAAATAAAGTTGGGCCGTCGCTGTGCTGTACTGGTGCTTCGGAGCGTAGCCGAGCTGACAGCGCGCAAGCGGCGCAGTGCCAAGTACTCCAGGGCCTCCACGATGAAGAACCAAGGGCGGAGCTCGGTGCATATATGCACAAAAGACCTGGGCTGCGGTGCCGGCTCTGCGTCGGGCTCCGGGCGCAAGCCGGCATCAAGATCCTGTGCGAGGCTGCTTCTATACTGAAGCAGCAGAGCAGTGCTATGCCAAAGCGCAAAGAACCGGAGCAGCAGTGCGTCGCAGCGGTTTTGTTGTTTGTTAAGAAGATGACGGTGCAGTGCTGTGCGGGGCGACCAAGCAGGTGAAGCCAAGGCTAAAACTTGCTGAAGGCGGTCTTCGAGGCTGTCCGGCGCCAGTACAGAGCGAGCCCAAAACCGCAAGGAAGTAAAGCTCTGCCAGGCGCGGAAAAAATTGTGCAAAGTTGAGCGGCGCCAATAGCCGAGCGCAAGCCAAAGCAGACCGGAGCCAGTGCAGGGCATGGCAGTGCAATTGGAGGCTGCGCGGGCCAAAGTTCTCGAGGAGAACCCGAAAAAGCGCTGCGGTGCATTTAGTCAAGTTCCTGCAGAAAGCCGCAGGGCAGATCAGTGCACTGCGGTTGCCCTTCAAGCATAGCGATGCGACGCTCTAAGCTTTGGGCATAGGCCGACAGGGCTTCAAGCCTAGCAATGAAAGTGTCAATGCGTTCATGAATACGGGTATCGCTTTCCAGGGCTTCATGGGCCAAGTCCTGGATGGCCCGAACAAGCTGCCAGGAGGTAGCCGGCTCAGGCTCCATGGCGAGGCGCGAAGCTGTACGATGCTGTGCAAAGCAAATGAAAAAGTTTGCAAGCGATGCAGAGCTGTGTCCATGCGATGCATGTGTTCAGCATGCGAGCAACTAGTTAAGCCAAAAGTGCGGCGCGGACTCACTCTTTGCAGTAACTAGAAAACACAGCTGAACAACATACAAAGACACAGCAAGCAACATTATTTTTTTTCACTGACGTTTCTTTGCGACAGGAGTTCAGCGGTCCCAGCCCGAGTCCAAGGCTGCAGCTCACTGGTGCGGGGGAGAACGGCTGGCAACAGGCGGGGCTTCGTCGAAGCGAGTCGAGGAAAGGACCTCGCTGAGCAGGGGATGGTCGCCATCAACATTGGCAGTGCCGGGCAAGGAAAAGCCAAGGAGACTGGCACCGAAGGCTCTAGCGGCAGAGAAGGCGAGCAAGGCGGACCAACGGGAAGTGAAGGCGCAACGGTCGAGGCACAGCACGGGCCCGGCACCGAGCGAGGAGGCGAACGAACTGGGAAGCTTCGGGACTCCAGCGGCCACCAACCTCAAGTGCAAGGACAACAAGCCGGCACCTCTGCGAGCGCAGCAGCTCGGGGTGGGTGCGTTCTTTAGCTTTACAAGCGAGGGGAAGCACTGCCGCTGGTGCCGCCGCGCAGCCCCGCTGGCGTCGAGAGGGGACACAAGGGTGGTGTCAACGGCAAGTTGCGCGCCGCCCCAGGGTGGGGGTCCATTGGCGATGACCTCGATGCGGCGGTCATCGAGGCGCTGGGGGTGGATGTTGAGGTCACGCAAGAAAACTTTGCAGGCAACAGTAGCCCCGGCTTCGCGGCAAACACGGGCACCACCTTCGGCCTGTCACGAGGTGGGTGACGCCTTCATCGTCAGTCGGATCGACACAAAAGGTGCTTCGGAGAGCCAGGACAACAGGTCATGGTCAAGCGGTGCCTATGGCTGGCAAGGGCGACGGTCGGGTCACGCAGCTGCTGGAGGGTGGCGTGGTCGCCCGGGGCAAGAGGCTAGCTCGCCGAGGCGGGCTATAGGTGGACCGCTCTGTCAGCACGTTGCTCAGCGCCGGGCTCGGACGCGGAAGCTCGTGCGGGTGGCGAAGCATCCTTTGCAACACGAGCTCGCATGCTCAATGTGACAACCCAAACGTCGACAAACACAACCAGTAGTCGCATCGACCTCACCTGCGCCGGCGTTGCAAGTGACCAGTGCAATAATTCGTACATACATGCGGAACCGGATCTCGACATGCAGCGCGTCGACACGCATGCGTCACAGGCCGAGCATCCACAGTGTTGACAGCAAGAGGCGGTGCAACGGACACAGGCTCATGACAGGGACACAAGGTGCGTTGAAAAAAAGGGCCAACGTCGACAGGTGCAATGACCTGGGCAATACCCTGTCAGGCAAGCCGAGGAAACACCGTTCGAAGAACGCGATCGCCTGCATGCGTGCCGGGGAGATTTGGGACGCACACTCCCTGGGACCGCATGAGCTGCACAGCGCCTGTCATTATACAGTGATTGCCACGACAACCCCTTTTTTTTCCACGGACCTTTTTGCCAACGTCCGAAACGGCGCGGTCCCGGTGCACAAGCCCAAAGCGACGGCAACTGTATTCGGCAGAGAGCAAAAAATCGCAGAGCGCTTTCACACCACACGGCTGGCAAGCGGCGGCTGAGTCGGCGAGGATGTCGCTCAGAAGCCTTCCCGTCAACATTGGCCGAGGGGCAAGGACAGCAGGCTGGCTGCCAAAGAACGCGCAGCAACGAAGGAGAGGAGCGCAGACCAGCGGAGAGTAAAAAGGCCGAGATGGCGGCAGCGCGCAAGGGTGGTGGCGCAGGCCGCGCACGGCACCGTGCCAGCAAGCGGACAAAGGTAGCCGGGCGATGCCGGTTGTGGTGGAGCCTACATGGACAGAAATGTTGTGAATTTGCTGTTGCCATGTAAGCTGGCTGCTGCAAGATTTGACCCAAGAAATCGTCAAGTCGGGTAGAACAGGCACCGACACACCGCTTGAATGCTCAGCCAACAAAGACACTTTGCCACCTTCAACATTTTGTTCGGCACTTTCCTGCGACTGCGAATTAAAGGGGTCCAAGTCGCTGTGCCAACTGCAGTCTACGGTGGCGGAGCGGAGCGCTTACGCACAGGCAAGATGGCGGCTGGGCTCAGGAGCCTCCTGCCAGCGAGCGTCTGCAAGGAGCTCGTGCAGAGCTGGCGGCGGGCCAGCAGCACCAAGCTCCGACTGGATGGGGAGCTCCACGAATATGGCAGCAGCGCACGCTGCGCCGCAACGGACATGAGGCCACCCAAGCGGAGAACCCATGCGGCTTGGGCGGAGTTGCGGACAGCGGCAGGGGCACTGGCTGCCCGCGCCCTGGCGAAGAGGCGAACACAGGTCGCGGCTTCCCCCGTGCAGCGTCTACCAACCTCGAGTCCGAAAACGACGAGGCGGCAGCGTCGGCTGCGGTCGAGCTCGGGGTATGTTTGCCGGCGTTTGCGTCCCGCCGCATTGCGGACGGCCCAACCTGGGTGGTTGTCGGCTCCGTCATGCGGGCGGCCATCTCGGGTCACCAGGCTGACGAGCGTGGCGTCAACGGCAAGTTGTTCGCCGTGCCAAAGTGGCAGGCCGTTGCAGACGACCTCGATGCGCCGCGCATCGTGGACCGGCACATCGATGTTCATGGCGGCCAGCGCGACGTTGCGCCAACAAGCTCGAGCGTACTAGCCACATCTCACGCAGCAGATGGTACCGGCAATGCAGGAACAGCAGGTGCATGGGACAACACCGGGCACATGATTTTTCCTCAACGGTGCCTCCGATTTCCACCTGGCGTTAACCAACATGTGCGTGTGTGTGTCTCACAACGTCACTTTGCGCATTTCCCACCTGTCTCCCGGAAATGATGGCCAGTGGTGTTGAAAATCCAAAGCCGGGCTACCGTTGAGGACATGCCTCCAAAGACACAAGCGTCCACACCCCAAACAATCGAAGACTCCCACGCTTGGCGAACTGCGCACGCAACGCTTGACCAACTGCGCTGCGTCGGCGTGCCATCGCCCACCCAGCACGCGCAGTGCATGCGCGCTACCAGCAGCAGCTCAGGGTACGTGGCGTGCTTGCGCCTGGAAGACGTCAGGGCGCATGCAGTCGTCAGGCGCCATGTGCAGTGGTCCTGGTGTTGATAGGAGGGAGACGATGGTAGCAGCCAGTGCAGATTAGGAGCCGTGCCCGAAGGCCACGCCATTCGCGACCACCTCGAGGGACCCCTCATCCGAGACAAGCACGTCGAGGTTCATGTGTGGGAGTCTCACGTGGCGTGCAACCGCAGCGCCGCATTCGAAACAGACCTGCACAATGGCATGCTCCAGGCAGCGCACGTGTGGCTAGAAGGCCTGGGGTAACACCGAGCGGGCCAAACGCCGCGTGGCAACTGTATGTGGCGGGAGGCGCAGCCGCAATCGCTTCAGCAGGAAGACTTGGAATTGCACACGAGTGGGGATGGCCGGCTACATATAGATGAAAGACTTGCAAAGTTTTTAGACGACATAAATCATGGTCAAGGGGGAAAGCATTCCATTCGAAAAACGGCTGAGAACTCCGATGCTTGCAAACTTGAAAGTGGTCAAAAGTTGTTTTCATTATCGCAGTAAGTAGTC